AACAAACTTTCACACCCTGTACTATAGAGTTAAGTCAAAACTAACCATCACTGGTTTCAGTTAAGCTCTGAAGATTTATCAACATTTGTAAATGGTATCTTCTAGTGGTCTGTGTTGATATTTTAAAAATTAATAAATATGGAGCAATCTAAAATTAAAAATGAATATTAAGATGAAAAGATAGTTACATGTCTTATTTTTAAGTGGAAACATCCATTTTTATTGCGCTTAGGGTGACTTTGTATAATGTTGCCTTTTTATAAAAGTTGCACATTTCTAAATATCACATATTTTGAAGTTTATGTCAAAAGTGATGTTTGCAGGTCTAAAAAATCTACCGACATTATAGAAGGAGATCTATTTCACTGGTCTGGATTGATATTTTAAAAACAAATTAATACAGAATGATGGAAAATTATTATGTTCAATTTTAATTTACGGATCGTTAAAGGCTCCTTTTTTCGTCAAGATGATGATATTGCTTTAGATTTTTTTATAAGGGGTGTTTTCTTTCGATGTATAGAACTTTAAGTTGCAATAAAACAACGATGGATTATTCGATTGACATGAATTTTATTTATCCGAAAGATAATCTTGTGGCATTACATTTTAAATAGGATTTCTGGCATATGACCGCCACGGCTGGCGCTGATGTAGTCCAATCTGGACGTTCAATTTTCGATGACTTTTTCTAACATTTGTGGCCGTATATCGGCAATAACACGGCGAATGTTGTCTTCCAAATGGTCAAGCGTTTGTGGCTTATCCGCATAGACCAATGACTTTACATAGCCACACAGATAGTAGTCTTCTTCTTCTTGTGGTGCCTATCCGTTTCGAATGTTGGCGATCATCATGGCAATGCGTACTTTGTCAACTGCTGCACGAAAAAGGCCTACTGTTGTTGTATTGAACCGTGTACGCAAGTTCTTTAACCACGATATCCTTCGTCTACCAGGCCTCCTCCTGCCTTCCACCTTGCCCTGCAGAATCAGCTGCAACAAGTCATACCGCTCGCTATTCCTCATTATGTGTCCCAGATATTCAAGCTTGCGTGTTTTTATTAAGAGAAGCAGCTCCTTGTCTTTACCCATCCCTTCTAGGACACTAAGATTGGTTATATGGTCGATCCATGGGATTCTTAAAATGCGTCGATATAACCACATCTCAAATGACTCGATTCTTGTACAGGCAGCCTCAGTTAAAGTCCAGGATTCCACCCCGTAGAGTAGAACTGGAAAGACATAACACCTCAATAGTCTGATCTTAGTTGGCAGTGATAGATCATGGCATTTAAATAGTTTAACCATTTTCAGAAATGCGGCTCTGGCCTTCTCTACTCTGCATTTGATCTCCAGAAAGTGATCCCACGTTTCACTTATCGTGGTTCCGAGATAAACACAAGTCTGAACTCGCTCTATATATTGGTTATTTATAGAGAGTTGGCCAACATGGTTGTTGGTTTTTGACACAACCATATATTTTGTTTTCTTAAAGTTCAGAGAAAGCCCGTATCCTTCACTGACCTCGACCACCCGAACCATCATCTCTTGGAGACTCTCTAGGCTATTAGCAAACACTACCGTGTCATCTGCGTATCGTATGTTTATATACTCGCCGTTGATCTTAATCTCACTGTTCGTGTCTTCCAGAGCCTCCTGAAAAATTCGTTCCGAGTATACGTTAAAAAGTAGAGGCGACAGCACACAGCCCTGACGGACCCCTCTTTCTATCAAAGTATCCTCCGACTCCTCTCCTTCGATGCGCACAGATGCGGTTTGTTGCCAGTACAAGTTGGCAATTATTCGTAGGTCTTGTTCGCCTAATCCAATATCCTTTAGAATTTCAATAAGTTTGTTGTGTTGCACGTTATCAAAGGCTTTCTGGTAGTCGATGAAGCAGGCAAACACATCGCAACTGACGTCCCTGCACCGTTGGAAAAGGACCTGAACACTAACTAGAGCCTCTCTAGTACCTAGCTCGTTTCGAAATCCGAACTGTGTGCGGCTCATTTGACCTTCGCATTGTTTAAAAATTCTCCTGTGTATTACTTTTAGAAAGAGTTTGAGGAGGTGGCTCATAAGCCTGATGGCCCGGTAATCATTACACCTCTTTGCATGACGGCTTTTTGGCAAAAGTATAAAAGTCGATTTTAACCACATCTTCGGTATTACCCCGGTAGAATATATGTCATTGAATACTCTTGTTAGTTATCTGATGCCGTCCGCATCAAGCATTTTTACAAATTCAGAGTGTGTGCCATCCGGACCGGGCGCCCTGTCGTCTTTTAGCTGGGATACAGCCTTCGTGACCTCGTCTACTGTTATCGGTAGCCTGTCTACATTGTTAAAATTTGAAGGACTTTCTGGCCTGGTGTCCGTAAAAAGGTTTTCTATGTAATTTTTCCAAGTGTTCACTTTCTCTTTGACGTCGGTGATCAGTTTGCCGTTCTCATCATGTAGTGTCCCAGATGTATTAGTTTTGTATATTCCGGCTGCTTCTCTGACTTTCTTGTGCATATTAAACGTGTCGTATTTTTGTTCTAACGACTCTATTTCTCCGCATTTTGCACCAAGCCAATTTTCCTTTGCACTTCTTATTTTTCGTCTTATTTCTCTTTGAATATTTTTATACCTTGCGTCGTCGTTTTTCGCTTTCCGCCTGTCTTCCATAAGTTGTAGAATATTATCGGTCATCCAGCTTTTCTTTTTCTCCCTGTTTGCGACCAAATGCTCGTTTCCGATGTTCCGATAGTAGTCTAGCGGTGTTAAATCACAAGATCTTGGAGGCCAATTCACAGGTCCAAAACGTGAAATTAGGCGGTCACCAAACGTGTCTTTCAATAAATCGATTGTCACACGGGCTGTGCGACATGTTGCTCCGTCTTGTTGAAACCACATCTCCTGGACATCATGGTTATTCAATTCAGGAATGATAGAGTTAGTAATCATAGCTCTATACCGATCACCATTGACTGTAACGTTCTGGCCATCATCGTTTTTGAAGAAGTACGGACCAATGATTCCCCAAGCCCATAAAGCGCACCAAACAGTCAGTTTTTCTGGATGTAACGGTGTTTCGGCATATACTTGAGGATAAGTTTCGCTCCAAATGCGGCAGTTTTGTTTGTTGACGTAGCCATTCAACCAGAAGTGCTCTTCATCGCTAAATAAAATTCGCTTATGAAAATCGGGAACAACGGCAATCTCGTTTTGGGCCCATTCGACGAATCTACGCCTTACTTGATGAATTCACGATGAATTGCCAAACCGAACTGAGAATAAATCACTTGACAGCTGTTAAATCGGGCGCCATCTTGAACAGTAGTGCCAACTTAAAGTTCTATACATCGAAAATAATAACCCTATATATGTAATAAATTAAGTTATTAATACTAAAGTTTTTTGAATTTATTTAATTTCTCGAATTTTAGAACCATTTAAGCCACTAATAAAACGTTGTTTTTGTTTCTGAATGTTGGAAAAAGAAACTTTTTAATAACATTTTTAATTATTTTACTTTACGTTACTGTAATTTCTTCATCGTCATAGCCAACTAATTGCAAGGGAGATATTCAACACACATAGAAAAATCTGTGATCAACGATTTTGTGCAGTGGTCGGTGTCCTTGGACGTTACTGATTAATGTGGCTAAAACAAATTCATAGGCACATACAGAAATTATAAATAGTAATTTCTCTAGTAGATCTACTGAATCAGTCCAGAATTATTGACAGGCAACAAACAGGACGCAAAAAAATTATAGACCAGTGGCAGCTCAGGTTCACTTTTCGAAAATATTTGAATATTGTTTTTAGAAGCGACTTTGGGTCCGAGATACATCGACAATGGTTCTGCAATATATAGTTAATTTTTCCAAAAATCATCGAATATTTATGGGATTTGATCAGAGCTTTTGATAACGTGGACCTAAATATAGCTACTGGAGATGACGAATGACTTTGCGGCATTGAACAACCAACATGGCCGCTGATAGATACTCAATAAGGCTGCATACGTTACTTTTGATGCCGTAGTTTCTCAGAATATATCCAGATCCATTAAATCTTTCGGCAAAAGAGAATTAAAATGGTGCAAAGTGCTGGTCAGTGAGTGAAATTTAAAGGCGTCTTTTTTTATCTAATATCCGTATAGATGGACCACACTCTGATCTTACGTAAACTGTCGATGGTGGGGGTTTACAGAACCCCATCGTAATGGATAAAGTCTTACCTTGAAGGCGGTATACAGCTGGTTGAAATTTATGGTATCAGATCGTCACAAAAATTAAAAGTAGGGACGCCTTAGGGTTCTTGCCTGTGTTCTTCCGCTCTCTGAATAAATGGTGATTTGAATCTCTGCAGTAGTGGAAATTATGTCGATTAAGAAGACCTTTTTTAGTAAATTTTGCTTCATCTGTGCAAATGCAAATCATTTTTTTTTTAAGAAAAAACACCAAAATGTTTAGTCTTTTCATTAATTGAATGTTAATATCTCAAAAACTGTTAATGTATAGCCTAATACAAAGCAGTCTGAATTTGTCAATCCTAGTGAGATTGGATTATAAAAATAGGCTTCCATTTTAAAAAAAAGATTTTCGTCGCTTTTGAGCAATTTCATTCTTATTTTATTATTAATAATATAAATTTCCAACTAAATATATAATTATTAATATAATTTTCAGATTGATCTAAAAAGATATGTAGGATATTCCATTTGAAATAAGAAATTGGACACACGCATTGGGTATATAAGGGCCAATATTTTCTGATTTTTTTTAATTACAGTTTTCTCATAACAGATCGACGAATTGTGGAAAATGAATGTTCGAATCAGTAAGGAATATATTTGGTGATAATTGATAATAAGTTTTTTTTTTAATATGGGCTGATATGAACAAATATGTGAAGTTTATAATTGCGGTTATAGGTTTACTAACTGCAACATCAATAATTAACAGTTTAGCATCTCGCAAACGTGGAAAACGAAAGCAAAATTACCTTTGAAAATAAAAATCGGTCTCCTGTTTAATTTATGACACGTTGCACTCGTCTATGCTCTGAGCATCCCTTATCTGCTGCTTCGCTTTGCGGCTCGCCCTACGGATAAGGGATCGGGATCTCGGTTTAGCGAGGTGAATCCCCTCTGCGGCGGCGGAACCCGACGCAGATGCTTTATCCTTCTCCGGTAAAGGGCTCTCGGCCCTGCGTTTGCCCTTGCTGGTCGCCGACACGTAAGCGCTGGATCGTCTTTTCAGTCCTCCGCTCGAATCGACCGCGTTGTCCTTCGGGAGGAATTTCGACAGCGTCAGGAAAGATCGAAATATCTCTTTGATATTGATATCGTCTTTCGCCGAGCATTCCAGAATCTTAACCCTGCAATGGAGAAACGTTTGAACATATGTAAAAAAAATATCTACTGGGAAATTCCACTATTTTTCAGATTTTATAAAAATCAACATATTTTACGCCCTAGCAAAGAAGAAAGTAATATTGCAGCTCAAATGAATCCCGACGTAGTCCCACATGTCCCAATTTTCACTTGTCAGAGAATAAACGCGCTCGCTTAAGTAGTCACATACGGAGAAGAAACAGGAACCTTTCCGTAATAATCACCGAATTGAAAGTGAGGGCTTCTGATCATCAAGTGTAGACACAATACATTGTTACAGACTTACGATCCTAATTATACATTTATTGAAGTGCATTAATATATAATAGCCAAAATAGGAGAGGGCCACTACTGCAGTAAAACGAAATATAACAAATAAAAAAAAGAAAATGTGTTTTTAAGTTGTTAAGGAGGTGACTGATCCAAGTTGGGAGACCGTTATAGCTAAAGCAGAATTACACTTGGGATCAACGAACAGGCCTTACTGAAAAAAATATCCGCAATCAATCTTAAATAAGTATTTCCAGAGTGATTAGCTAAGAGCTGCGATTTAAACCGTTTGTGTAAAGTCTTAAGAGGCGAAGGTCAGCTGAGTTGTTAACTTAACCGAGTATATTCAAAAATTCAATTCAAACATAATTTAGTATAAAAAGTAGTAGATGTATAGTGCCGATATAAGCAACAGAAACCGTACATAACCTCAATTTCCTAACCCCCCCGCAGCGGGGGCCCCCCGCGCGTGGCGTCCTAGTGTCCCCCCTGTCTACCAGAGTGCGCTCCGCCCCCCACCCAGCTTGTGTAGCGTCCTGTTTTGCCCCGGTTCCGCCCGTCGCTGCTAGATGTCGCGCGCTTGTGTCGCCAGCTTGTGTAGCGTCCTGTTTTGCCCCGGTTCCGCCCGTCGCTGCTAGATTTCGCGCGCTCCGACCGTCGTAGGCCCCCCCGGTAGAGGGCGGTGACGGTGCGGCACGGAGACGGTGTGGCGCGGTGACGCGGGTGATCGGGTCGTCGGTAAACAAGTCGAGTGACTTATACAGAGTGTCTCAATAATCACGGTTTAATAAAAGAAAAACTATAGATACAATAGTAAATATTTATTAGCTCATATGTAGACAACGTAATGCTTCGTACAAGCGGTGTTTCTGGTCCATGAGATTTTCTACTTCATCGCGGTCGAGGATAATTTCGTCGCCATGATCCCGTTTCAGTATCAACTCACAGCTCTCTTCTTCGTTCGAATAGGTCACCTCGATACTGCTCCCGATGTAGACTGTTATGTCGTTCCAGAACATGATTTCTCCCACCTGGTCCTCCAGAAAGAACAAAAAATCCCAAAAATCCTGGACTTGAAAATCTATGTGCTTGTTCTTGAAGATGAAACGGACACCTGAATTCTTTATTTCGAAAATCGTGTTTTCATCGATAGTGACCACTTTGTTACACATTGTGACAAACAGACTGACTTCGGTATCAAATTCAAATGTACTTATATATCAACAACCCCCCACTATCGGTGTAATTAAGAGAGATATTTACATTTAGTCAATTTGAATAAGCATTTTGCCAAAAGAAGCAAACAAGCGCACGTAGTTACATATAGCGGGATTAAAATAGTTTTTAGATCTGCCGAGATGTTGTATTCGTTACCGCAATTGTCGTTAACGCCGCCGCTGGTGTTATTGGAATTCTTGATAGCGATCGTTTGCCATTCGCCGTGGTCTTCGTAGCTCCGGTTCGCGAAAACGAAACGTACCTTGTAATTTAAATACGGCTTATCTGCGGTAGTGTTATTCGACAATGTCACGCTAAAAGTTTGTAGCTTGTCGATTCCGTTGACCTGAGCGAGTTGCATACGCGACCACGTATCGGGCTAAATGCACCGATTATTATGATTTTTGAAACAAACGAACGCTTCAATCACATCCTTAGGTTTATGTATATAGAAAACGTTTTGTACCACAGCCGACAACAAAACAAAGTGAGCACTTAACAAAACCATGTTTCTAGCCCGAATGAATCTATCCTAGATCTCGGTAACTGCTTTTATAACACTCAAACAATAATGACATTTATTCTGGGGAGGTGCCGGGCCGTCGATATGCATTTTGCTGTCCGGTCTGTTATAGTGAACAAAGCAGGGCAAATGAGTTTGCAATTCAAAATTGTTGCGATGTCGTACTGGTAACTTATGCCACATATTTAACAAATCGTGCGGTCTCACATGCTCCAAAAAATGTTGCACAGGAATCAATTCAAGTTGATCGGTATCCAAGCTTCTAAAATCGTCGAAGAAAACTAACTTCTTATTCATTGTTGTGAAAGATCGATAACTTTCTTAACAAATCTCTAATTTGTTTAAAGACACTCTGTGGGACAATTAATTGCGACAAGACTCAAGTCTATTTCACCGACTCTCGTTAATTTATTCAAAAATTCGTTGTATTCGTAATACGTTTTCTCTTTGAAAAAATACAAATGTCCGTTGGTGTATCGAAACGCGCCCGACAAATCGTCGGGCAGACCCGGAAACAGTTCCGTAGTAAAACCGTGTTCACTCGCACTCAAAGAACACTCGTCTATTTCTGCATAGTAGCGTTTACCGTAAAATATATACGTTCGACCGCCATACGTATTAAAAATAGCGTTCACTGTTTTACCCGCAGGCACACCCAGTCGCTGGATGCTTTGTCGGTCGCCCACTACCGTGAAACTCGGGAAGTGAAGTAAATAAAACGAATCACCGGTGACTACCAAAAGTTGTCCGTTGGGTCTCTGGTAGATATGCGAAATAGGAGCGTAAATAGGGACATAATCTGATATCATTTTAGGTTCCATGTAGACTTTATCACCTAATCTTATTATCCAAACCCATTTGTCGTAAAATAGATACATATGATGGTTAGACGTAACCAAAAATATGTGGATGGATTTACGTGACACAAATCTGGTACTTTTGTTTCGTTTTTCCCTATCGGAGGTTTCGTAGTTGTGGTAGTAGTGGTAGTTGATGTTGTTGTAGTCGGAGTTGTTACGCGGGCGGTGGTTGTGGTTTTTTTACCATATAAACGTTGAAGACCTGCAACATCGTCGTATGACAATGTCTTAGAATTTAAGCTATACCAAGGGTACATAATGGCATTGCGATCGTTACTGTGCGCCAAACCCAACGTATGTCCAATTTCGTGGAACAACACAGTAAACAAGCTCGTTTTTCCTCCGGGCGCAGGCACTTCTAAACCGTAGTACCAATCTTCGGATTTATCCAAATGAACTTCCACGCACTCTTGTTGTTGATTTGGAAAAAATGCATGTCCTAATATGTTACCCCTTCCGTCGAAAGCAGAAGGACAGGATTCGTTCCCTTTACATCTTATGCTTTGTCTGTGGGTAGTATATTTGTCAGACATCAAAATCATTATATCCGGCTCTGAGTAATTTAAGAAAAAATTTAAATTTGATTCATCACTCCATATTTTAAAAACCTCGGTTGCCAGCACTTTTAACTCTTGATAGTGACTGGGCGGTACTTGAATATACCAATTTAAATCCGTTTTCTGCCATCGCGAAACAGTCGTGAAGGCATTTTCTATTACACCACATCGGGGTTTATTTATTAGTTCGACGGTTTCGTTATTAAGAGTACCATCCACCGGTAAATTATAGAAATCCTGAAAATCCATTAGGGCACGTTGCAAACTCGACGCATTGATCTGCGTTAAAGATTCGTTGTCGTTAGGTGAAAGGAATCCGAATTTTTGTAAATATTCAATCACACCTTCCTCGGGCAGCGCGGCGACTATCGTCGACACGTCCGAACAGGTAGTAAAGACAGCGTAGCATAGCAACAAGACTCTCATCTCGTTCAAGGTCAGTAAAATACTAAAATGTATTCGGTTCCTAGCTAATCTTTTATAGGTAAAATAACAAAGAGAAGTGATGAACCAAACGCTTTTAGTTGCTATTTTGCGTGAGATGACGCAGAATATTACTCGAGAAATGGAACGAAAAAAGAATTATACTTCAATAGATTACAGTTTCGCAGTTTGTATTCATATCATAGCATTAGCGTGCTTTATTTTTACGTGTAAATGTATTATTAATTTTTTTGGATTGAAATAAAAAGTCTTATTTAAATAAAAAAAAAAGTTTTATTTCATACAGGGATCCTTGAATACAACCAATTATATAAAAGGGCAGAATTTCTCAACGCGCACATGCGCAGTCTTCCTCCGGAGTGAAACATGCAATGGGCGTGATCCGGTTGAAATTTCGGCGGATTCAACCAATTATCATCATCGAATTTCTCCACGTTAATGACTCTGCATGCGACACCCTCCTGATACATTTTCGACATTAAAAATTCCATTTTTGATCTTCCTCTCACGTATATCAAGTCAGCATTTTCTATCAGTAGTCCGATCAACGTATCAATGTCGGAATATTGAACAAAACCAGAACTGTATTTGAGACCGTGATGATATTGTTCGAGCCAGCGTACCGTTCTTTTTTCTGCACCGGTCAACGTGCAATATTCACGCGGCGGTTTCAAAACGTAATGACTAATTTGGCATCCATTGTAGACAGCCATTTCTTTAACGACAAATCCATCTTCTAACTGGAAGCCTTGAATATCTACCGCAACGATGCGCATTTTTAATATGACTGGTTAAGATTAGGTTCCTCCGGCGGTATTTATGTTAGATTTCGAACAATCTCGCTGAGCGGTAGTTGTTCCACGATACAATCGTGAATGATGATGCATTAGGCACGTGTATTCGCGGGAAATCCCTTTTTTGCTTCGATGTCTAACTTTACGTCGACAGTGCTGGATTTTACACTGTCGTTTCTTCGAGAACAGTCAATGACGAAAATCGCGCAGTTTTTGAAAGCCATATAGTCAAGCAACGCAGTTTTTTCCTCACATCCCTTATAACTGGGGTAGAAATCCGTGTAATTATGATGCGCTTCCACGAAGTCATTCTTTTCA